CTGGCAGGGATCTGGACCGGAGGGATCCCTGCCATATATGGCCATGGGATCTAGGAGGGAGGTGGACTGGCCATATAGACCATTCCGCTGCCTCCAATCCGGGGGCGTTTTTGAAGAAGGTGCGGACAGAGCTCAGCTGATCGGTTTCAGATCAGCAGGTCATATGGCTGTGGGATTGGCTGTGGGTCATGGCACCAGACCAAGGGGTTGACCTGGTGTCGGTCTTTCGCCACATGGTGGATTGGTCGGGCTCCAGGTTTTGACCCATCCTCATATCTCGGAGGTCCTAAGCAATCCTGCCGCTCTTTGGGTGTTAGGAAACAACCACCCACTTGAGGCATATATAGGTCCTGGAGCTTCCAGGGAGTGGAACATATTCTTTGCAGTGATAATAACAACACAAACACATTGTTGTATTTCTTTTGTGTTTTTCTTATTAATGAAAGCGAACCGTTTTTTGTACCGCTGATTCCTATTTGTTTCCTATACGTTTGTATGATTTGATACAATTACGTATTAAGAATACATGCAGTAAATAAATATATTAAGCAAGCAACAACAACCTTGAGTTCCTATGTCTGAACACTAGACTCAGCACATTCTTTGCTCCAGCTTGATGCAACTGTTTTCGTGTGTTCTTATTGCTAGCCTGGTCCGTTTTCTTCGTTGTTTTAGATATGTTTCTTCGACCTGGTGCACAGGTTTTGATCGTTGAAAAGGTCTACAGGATCTACAGGAACCATGGTTTGAACCAAATTTTTGTGTGCATGATTGGCTGCAGTGAATTCAGGAGGTTCCTCAAAGCTAAACTCATGAAGAAACAACTGGAAGATCCAGGCAAAATCTCAAGAAAGAGCCCAGTAGCGGCACCTATTTAGGCAGATTTCTTGTGCTTCTTCTTGGTACCTTCACTTTGTACCCTTCAAGCCTTGAAGAGCGGAAAGAGAAGTCCAGCTTCGACGGCTCCCTCTCGGGTCTTGCAGGAGGTCTTGCAACAGCTGGGCGAGCGAGAGAAGCGCCGCGCCCGGCCGCCGCGGGCGCCGCGGCTGGCGCCGCTGCATCCCCGTGGGGAGTACACAAAGATGACGGGAGGTTATCCAGGCTTTAAGGCCGATGAATTGCTTTGGCTGAATGGGTGAGCATTGTTCTGGTAGTGCTGGGACAGATGGGCCCTGGATTGCTTTCAATGGTTAAGACCACTAAACCATACCAAACCCATGATGTGCCTTGGATTTTGACGTTAAAAACACACACACACCCGCATCCACCACCAAATCCAAACCACCGAACCCACTCTGGCCCACTCCGGGCTCACCAGTCACGCGCCAGGGCCCCTTTGAAGGGGAGGAGCTGCGGAGCGCCCGGCCGACGGCCCGTTCCATGAGCGAGGAGGCGCAACAAGAGATGCGGGGCCCAGAGGTTGGATCAATAGAAGATGGTTCTTCGCCATTCACTAACAATGATGTCTTTGTTCACTAACATTCACGAGATTATCAGTATGATTCAGTATGATTTAGGGAACAAACACATCATTTCATGTCTTTCGTCCAACACCAGATGGCAATGATGTGTCCAACACAAGTTGGCAGATCTCCCCTGTTCCGGTTTTGGCTTGGGGTCATTTTGGCACGTAGGCATTGGAATCGTTGTATCGTTTCTTCCAACGCGCCTTCCGGACGGCACGTTGGCCGATCGGGAAAGCGCCAGGGTGTTGGGGCGCCATGGTTCCCAAGCACGAGGAATTGGCGCCTAAGCCAGTCACTGCCAGTCACTGGGTGGTAGGAAGTTGTGACTTCTTTTTTGGACCAGAGGGTATGGCCAACAACTACGAGGCCAGATGATTGTTGGATGATCCAGTGAGATTTGATGAAGGTCACGGGGGGCTTGGCTTGGAGTTATAGTTCTTTTCTCTTCGTGTTCTTGTTTTTCTCGGAAGAATCTACTGAATCCTACTCATGACTTCAGGGTACATGCTTCCATTCCAATCCCATCAGGGTTTCCACTCTTCGGGGCTTCCAGTGCGGCCGGCTCCAGATGCGCCAGGCCCCCTCCAGCGGCTCCAGGTGCGGCGGAACGATCCGCGTCCGACGCAAATCGACGAGGCCTCCGCGTCCGACGCGGAGCGTCGAGGCCTCCGCGCCCCCACAGCACCAGCAGCCTGGGCAGAGACTCGCCGCACCGGCCGAGCGCCTTGCACCAGCCGCGCCTGACGCCGGCCGCTTTGCAGTGCCGGCGCTTGGCCTCTATGCGGCGGTTGTGACCGGGAGAGGCCTGCTGGAAATGGGTGGAGTCTCATGTGGTGCGAAAAGGGCCCAGAAATCCAGGACAAGTTCTGGAGAAAGGGTGAACTTGTGAGCCATGACACACCATGACATCATCTACCAGGGGCCCCACGAACCATCAAAAGAACGTTGCTGTCTTTTCCCGCTAGCAAAACATGTCATAGAGTTTTTGTTAGCATGTCATAGAGTTTTTGTTAGCATCATAAGTTCACTTTTTGTCATATTTGTGTGTGAAAAGTGAACTTCATGATTTTGCATGGTCTTTTTGGGCCGCAGAACCACCCAAGTGGTCTGGTCGAACCGACGGACGGTCGACGGACGGTCGACGACCGATGACTTGCGAAGAGGTGAACGGCAACGAGGCGACCGATGTTCCAGTATGTTCAGAGCTCTGAAGTTGGAGAATTTAAACATGAATATAAGCTTTTTCCGGGATCCGACCCTCCAAACCCTCCTACATGAACAGTGGAAACCAAGCAGCTACCGAGAAGGTACTTGAGATGCTATGAGATGCTATAAAAAATTTATCATAACCGCAGGCAGGACCACAGAACCTCCCCAACCTCAAGCTACAGACAGTCTGAGAAGTTTGAGTCAGCAGTCCAGTCGTCATCCAGGAGGCGAAGCGATCCAGGAGTCGTCCAACATCTGCTGGTGGAAGAAAATTGCTTGTTTTTTAGCACTTGCAGTTCCAAAACCCGGGCTGCAGGTATGTACAGGTAATTATGTAAGAGGCGACAGAATCAGGCGACCGACGCGAAACGCGACACGTGTCGAGCCAAGACCAGAAACATGCTGCCAGCCACACAGGTTGCCAAGGCCATCCCGAACAAGTTGTTTTGGGCAATTCCAGGGCATGGGCCATCTCACCCTGAACCTCAAACATCAGAGTTGTCACTCGTCACCATGGAATGGTTTATACGACCTTTTTTAAGCCTTTGGAGTTAAAAGGTTCTTGATTGGTGCCAGGACTTTCTCACCTACTTTGCCCATGTTCAATTGTCACCTATGGGTCTATGGGGACTCCAACAAGTCTTTGAAGGGCCTCAAACATGTTTGTGAATTGTGGGTCATGACCCGCCTTTTGATTTTGTCGTCTCCAATCTCTCCCTCTATTGGCTGCTGGCTGTTTGACGGGGTGATGCTCCAAGAGGAACTGTGCAACTCCGATGTTTTTTGCACGAAAGGCTTATATGGTTTCGGATTGTTTCAGTCTCTTTGAACGGATATTCTATATCCTAGTGTCCCAGCAGTGGCCTCAGTCCAGGCATGGTGGCATGGTTTCCAAGACCAACCAACGACGACGACCTGCATGGATCCCGTGGTTGCTGATGTTGATTCCTTTGTATAGATGGTGAAAGGTTCAAAGTAGGGGTTACGGTACCCAAGAAGGCTGGTTACTGTAGCTGGAAGTGCCCATGGTGTCGGAATGTCCGCAGCCAAGAGAGGGCGCAACCGCCTCGCTGTCTCGGAACGGCGGAGCCGCCAAGGCCGCGATCCAGGTCAAAGGTAGTCCGTCCAAATCTTAAATATCACATATGTTGGACTCAGTATGACTGAGTTGGAGGCTTTCAATATCTTTCAATGATATATGTTTGATATATGTGTTTGGCCACTGTGCAACCCCCCAAGACGTTCCGTGTGGAAGGAGCAACTTTTTCTTGGACCTGCCAACAAGTGCCAATGATCAACGTTCAAACGTAGCGTGCAGAAGACAAGCGTGCAGAAGACGCGGTTCTCATGCAGATCATTGCAGAAAAGGCGTGCGAAGAGTTGTTTTTGGCAACAACAATTGCAGACGTTTGCAGTCAACGTCCAATCTCAGGGGCCTTTCCACGGTTTCAGAGGTCATAGTGCGCGACGGATACTGAAAAAAGTCCAAAGTAAAACTTGGTCCTTTACCTCCTTGAGTAGTGTTTTTGTATGACCAACTTCAGTATTTCAGTATCGGTCATGGACTTGTTTGTTCGTGTCACGTCGCCGATGTTTGAAGGAAAAAGGGTCTGGCAGTATTCCATGTCTTTCACGTTGGCTTTCGAAGCTGTCACCCCCGTTTTCGCTGGCTGACGTGAGCGCATTCGAAGCTGGGGGCCATCGTCCCACCTTCGGGGCCCCAGCTCGGTCATCGCCCCGCGCGCCCCGACTCGTCGGTTTCACTCGAGGCTCGGTCGTCAAGCCTCGTCGGATCTGGGGCCGGTGACAGATGGTGTTCATTTCGATTGGGCTGGACTCGTCGGACTCGTGGAGGGTCGCCAGTTGGGTCGTTCTGGATCTGAAGAGTTGGGGTGCATGGGGTGTTTGGGGTGCATGGTTTGATTGTTTCGCCTCTGGGTACATCCGCTTCCGGAGTATTGTGTTGTTTTCTCGGTTCCTTGAGCAAATCCATGTGAAATCACACAGAGTGCGATCCTTCACAGACTCATTGAAGGACGTCGGTGTGTCGCGTGCTATCGCGATCGTTCCCGCTCGAATCAAACTTGCAGCCATCGAACGAGGATTGCATAGAGCAGTGAGGACATTTCAACATGTTTCATGATGCATGATTCTACGTTACGCACGTGTTGAAACTAAAATCTGGACTGTTGGAGAGATGCCCTAGGCTCTTCACTGTTCGCTTTTGTTTGTTTTCATGGCACAAGGTTCATGCACCGTGAGAACCTCGCGAACAGCGCCGTACATAAGGGGCTCCATGCCACGGAACTCGTCGTCTGAACTCCACCAGGCAGAGCCCCCTCGATGCCACTGGACAGACCACTCCGCAGCCCGACGCCGTCGTCACCTGCGAATCCCATGGATGCTGCCCCGGGGAACCTCCTGCTTGGCGCGACGTCTGAGTGTCGGTGCGGCTAAGGCACCTGGAGAGGTACCGCGGTTTTCAGGGTCAGTGCAGTCTCTAGTTCATAGATAGAAACGATCTCCAGAGCTTATGGAAAAGGCGATTCAATGGATGCACTAGAAGTCACCATGTAGTCTACAGACATAGTCTGGGTATGGTTGTTTGCCTCCGACACGTATTGGGATTGGTGGAAAGTACTCCCTCCCATAAATGCAAGAGGGTTGTTTTGCTTGCCCATGTCCAGCAAACAGAAGTAAAAAAGGTGACAACGCATGTCTGTGCCAGGTTTCAAATTCTTGCCTCTGTAGCAGAGGGGTTTTCAGGGCCAGATAATGGCCGGGTGCCAAGTGCCTTTGCCTCAAGGGTCAAGCCATTGAGTGGGCGGACATCCTTTCACCATCTTTCACCTATCTCTAACCCTCGCCCTCATAGATATCTTTTCCTGTGGCAGTGAATCTCCTGTCAGTGGTGAACATACTTTCGCCACGTCCGTCGAGAGACGCTTTTCACCTCCAGGGCCTGCAGCAGCAGTTGAACCAAGCTGCGACTTGGCGGGATGTGACTGGACACATATGACTTGTGGTGCAAGCCCCCATAATGTATATAGACCTGGAACCCGTTTGACCTCTGTTTTGATAGGAAAAGACCATATTTTGGGTGGTTTGTGGTCCAAAATAGAGGTTATTCAGGTTCTAGGGATAGATAGATAGATAGGTTTCGTGGAACGAACATCCACCTGTTTGATATCTATCAGACAACACGGTCCCTTTTTGTTTCGGGGAAATGCCAGCCACGTAACCATGACTGTTCAAGGGAGTAATGCACAAAACAAATCGGTCTCCAACATCACCCAAATGAGTAGTTGATAGATCCCTCTGACCTCCCCAAACAAAGAGTTTTTTGTTTTTGTTTTTTCCATCCAAGAGCACCCCCACCAGGTGGTGCTGGCTACTTTTTTGTCAATTAACAGTGATTTGTTTGGTTTTTGATATGCTTTCTGTACTTGTGATTGTTCGAACACATTCGATGCAGTTTTCAATTTCTGAATGCGAAGCTGTTTGATTTTCCTTTTGGAGCAGAAAGAAGGGACTGACAAGAAAAGAGGAACCAGAGCACCCACAAGAAGTGAACCGGAAACAGTGGATCCCTGCAACAAATACATGTTCAACCATCTAGTTTCACATCGACCGCCTCTTTGACTGCCGTGCTGAAGGGATTCTGAGATGGTAGGTCAAGTCAAATCCAAACGGACACCGCAGGACATGCATACCAGCAGTTCCAAAGGGATGCTATCCATGGAGGTTGGTCCACTCACTTAGGGACTAAACACATCTAAACACCACCCCCTTTGGAACTCCTGGTATATGGTTGTTTCTCGATCGTGAGGATACAACAAAGAGTTGGAACTTAATGACAACTATGTTTTGTCGAAGAACTCTTCAAGAATCTCACGTGTTGTGATGTTCTCTAGATCGAAAAAGCGCTCCTCGTTTCGCACCGAGCGAACCCCCCCGAGGCAGAGGCTGGGCAATGTGTCCGAGCAGAGGCCGCCGGGCCGATGGCGAGACTCGCGTGGGTGGCTCTTGTGTTTGTGGGTCATTGACGTCGCACATCGGTTGCACCCTGATTTCACCGTTGGGAAAATAGGAATCGACATTATACATATACTTGAACAATATTGGAACATGTACTGATTTGTTTTTTCACAATAATAGCTTTATATACATATCATCCTTTGAAGTTTCTGCCATTCAATTATTTGGTTGTGACAGCTCCACCTGCTTTACCAGCTATGTCCTCCAAGTTCATTTTTTTGATGCACAATGCATTCCTGGAGTGCATTTTGGGTGCATTGCTTTTCTAAAGTGCATTCCTGGAGTGCATTTGGGGTGCTTTGCTTTTCTAAAGTGCATTCCTGGAGTGCATTTGGGGTGCATTGCTTGTAAATATAGTTTGCTTGTACTATAGAGCAATCTGCGCAAGATCAGAAGTGCTTTTCAATAGATATCCTTTTCAAAGGCCATTTTCAAAGTGCGGAAAACCCCTTTGACGACTGGCGCCGGCGGCAGTCTGACAGTCCCAGGTGACAGGTGACCCAAACGGAAATGAGAATGCATTTTGCAAGCCGGGAAAAAGAACAACTTAACAACCGGTAAGCTGGGCCCAGCCCAGGCTAAGGAAGCCACCAAATGCAAAACAAATGCACCACCCAAAAAATAGATGCAACAAAAATGCAACCCCCAAATTGCAAAAACATGCATTTTGTTTGCATTTATTTTTTGGGTGGTGCATTCTTTGCATTGTCCTGTGAGCCTTGGGCCTTGGCCCAGTCGACGATGTTATATCCCGGACAGGGGGGCCGAGGAAATAAGGAAAACAGGAAATGAAGGAATTGGAACAGCAAACTTTCTTTTAAAAGCTCTGAATTTACCAGCAAACTATCTATGTGTAAACTGATCTAAACAAACTATCCGAATTTTTCCGCTCAAAAGAACGCACTCTCAAAACACATATCCACAAAGAATGCATGTGCAGAACGCACTCTCAAAACACATATCCACACAGAGTGCATGCGCAGAATGCAAAACTAATGCAACAATTATGCACATGGTGTTACTAAGCCTTAAAGCAGTCAGGCTATTAAAATATATTACAATTATGTGGTTGGAAATCTATCACTAGACACTGGACACTCACCGTAAACGGACCACAGGCTGGCTGAAAGACCGAACATCATTCTGGCTGCAGGAACAGTTTCGACTTTACCAGTGTGAATTTCAGCTGTTGTAGCCAGGGTGTATTGCGTACAGTTGATGCACCGTCGCTGCTGTTTCGGCTGAACAGGGCCCTTGAGCTGATTCGCTGCTGCGAAAAGGAACTGTGCGAGATTCAAACTGGTAGCGGAGCAGGTTCTGAAGGGGCACCCTCAGGATCTGACTCACCCGGGGAGACTCGCTGGATCCGAAACCGTTGAACCCAATTGCGTGACCCTGCGCGCAATCCGTCGAACCGTTGTAATTCCAGTGCTTTGCGAAACTTGTTGAGTTGCGATGTCGCTGGCTGGCCTGCGGTACACATCCCATGGAGGAAGTATCTCAGGACCACAGGAGACGAAGAGCGGATCATATATCTACAGTGGCAATCCAAATGGTTTCTTCGAATGGGAATTTCGCACCAAGGTCCGCGTTGCTTTGCACAAGCAGAAACATGCGAAGAAGAAATCGGAGAAGACCTATTCGAGTCATGGAAGCCAATCAGCCACACCAGAACGTTCTCAGAGGAGGCCGACTTATGCGACCGAAGCTGGGGATGTATCAGAGGATGACGAGGCACGATTTGAAGCTTTTGGAACCCCGAAGTCCGAGAGCGTGGCAGGAGAGGAAGAACCAGCTCTGAGCACTGCCGGACTGGATGATGATGGAGCAGAGTATGCAACACTTGTTCACAAGGTGTTGGAAGGTCTGCGAGGTGATGCATACCTTACAGCCCAAGATATGGGATTGGAGAAGTTGTTGACTCCAACTGGCATTGATGAGTTGATATCGCGTATCCGTGCACAAGTTTTTCCACTTCGACAACAAGAAGCACGAGAGTTGTTCAGAGTGGGTCAACTCCCACATGGTCCCTTGTCTCGCCAAACGACAGAAAGCATGACTAGCTACATTTCACGAAGACGTCGTTGGTGGAGGAAGCTTTTGGAGATGGATGATGGGGTAAGTCTTTCAGACCCCATGCGTGGTGAGCTACTTCTGGAAGGCTCTGGCTTGAGCAAGACAGAACAGCTCATGATCAAAACAGCTGCAGGCGACAACCAATCCTTTGATGTCTACGCCAAGTTCTTGCTTGAATTCCATGGACAAATTCACTTGCGCAGCTGGTCCGCTTTTGGTAATACGAGCCCTCGGAGGCAGAAAGGCGGAGGCAAGTTTTCAGGCAAGTCTTCCTACAAAGGAGGAAAAGGGCGCAGTTGGCAAAGATCTGCGTACATTGTTGAAGATGACTCATGGGATTATGAAGAGTCCTATGAGCCAGAAGCAGAGGATGACTATGAGCATGAAGCTTATGTCGCAGCAGAAGATGAAGAACCAGAAGACGAAGAACATGAAGACTATGTCGAGGACCCTGCCAGCACCGGCCAAAAGGATCTATGGCACACCCTTCCCTGGAGGACTTATAAATCGTCTATACGTCCTCAGGGCTTGAAGGGCTTTGTCCTACCAGGCTGTATGAAATCCAACATGGTCTTGGCAATTGACGTGTCAGTTGCATTCGGGCCAAACGTAAAATCCCTCACAAACAACCGGGTACTTTTCAAAAGCAAGCTGGGCTTGGCAGCTTGCTCTGAATTTCGTAGCCATGGTTTGGACTCACTGAACCCAACTCACAAGGATGGAACTTTGGGCCTTGGGTTCTAGCCATATATACCCTCAATGACTCAAACTGTTTTCTGATGTTTTGTTGTTTTTTGATGTTTTTTGCGCGCTTCGGTTGTGCACTCGCCGGCCGGCCCGCAGCTATATTCCATGCTGGTTGTGGGTCACACGACACTGACGACACTGCAGGGCTGTTTTAGATCAATCTGTGTGGTATCGCATGGGTTCATGCATCTTCACTGCGTCATTTTATGTTTCAATTTCTTAAGCTTCTAGTGGCAGCATGATTGGGTGCTCCCTCAGTGGTCTGCTGGGACCTCAGGAGTTCTGAAGAGAAGATATGCGCAGAGTGTGTTTCAGAATGTTGTTGAGTAGTTTTGGCTCCATGCGCAAGCCATTCGGGGAGGGGAAGCTTGCCTGCCAAAGGCAGCGCAGGAAACAGCTGTGCAAGAAGCTCTCTGCACAGCTGCTAGGGATCTTAGACGTCGAGTTGGCTGAACGCACCGGATGTTTGTTCCCACGGTGTCAAGATTTACGCAAGAGACACAACCAGAAATTCCGCATTTTGCGGCACTACTCTGGGCGTGTATTCACGCAGAAGCTGTGCTTGACAGTCTGCAAGTCTTTGATGCGCCAGTTGAACCTAGCAGTCGATCCTTCGCTCGATTTGGACACTGCTGCTCGCAGCCAAGCGAAGCGGCTCCAGAAGCTCGCAAAACGCTCCAAAAGGCTCATGGTGGAGGGTGACACGCTCCCATATGTGACTTGGCGTTTGAGAACGATATAGTATATATACTATATATATACATATAAGTATCTGGTTTTGTGTATGGGGTTGGGCCAAGGACCTCACAGAGGCACACGCTGGACCCTAAGGTTTTCAATCAGCGTGCGTATCCCTGCAGACCTTTTTGGACCGTTTCGGCGCGCAAGGTAGCCGCAGCCCTTGACGACCCCGCCGCTGCGGTTGAGGCGGCCTGCAAGTGCTGCCGTTTCTTCCCAACAGTTTTGTTGATTTCTCTTGGCCAGGGGGGCGACGCCGATTCCATGGAGGCCTTCCCATCAAACATCTCATTTTTTCTGGGGTTTGGTAGGTGTATATTTTCAATCGGTCAACCTGTGCAGGATCACAAGACCGACCTCGATTCCAATGTCTCCGAGGTCTTTGCAACATCCTCAAGGAGTGTGTTCATTGTTTCTAGCCTAACCCGTGCAGGATGAGGTACAAGAAATCACCTCTGGAGAGGCCAGTGGTTTAACTGACCTGTGACCTTACCATGTGTTTTGTGTTTAGTGTGCGCACATGTTCTGGAGTTCTGAGCAGCAAGCAGTCTGTCAAGAACAGGTTTTCTAATTGTTTGAACTTGTTTGCGCCACCAGGGTCCTGAGGGTGGAGCTGGAGGCGATGATCAGGACCAATTTCTCCTAACTGTTCTGTTTGAATTCCTTTCAACAGAATTATGCTGGCAGGAAGGCTGGGTCGATGAGGAGTGGCGCAAAATGAATGCTGAGGTGTGGGAGGTTGTTTGAGGTTTGTGTTACGTCAGCCTTTTTGTAGAGGTTGAAGTTATTGCTGTCAGGAGTGGCCCGATCGCCAGGCCTGTTCTTTCACTGCATGATGTGTGATTTTAGTGATCCCACAAATAGAAAAGGCTGCCGATACATTTATTAGTGGTGATCTACTTTTTAATCTATTTGGGGATCACTATAAACTCACCTGCACTATAGTTAGTACTTTCTGCTATGTGTTCAATTTTTTCCGTCCTCCAGGCTGAGACGCCCAACCAGGTGGGGTCTTGAGTATAGTGTTGGTGCAAAAATATTTTCTGAATCTCTGGGAAGGATTGGTGCGTTGCCAACTGTCCCTACTGGAATTGCGCGTGTTTGAAGAAGAAGCGGACCTGGTCAAAGGACTCAAAGGGGCTGCAGACTCCCGAGTCTAAGACTTTGGTTTTCACTTGTTTTCAACTTGAGTGCGCAGGAGTGGGAGGTGCAATTCACTCCTCGTGCTGGCTCTGAGGTCTGATGCGGCGTGGTCACGCATGATGAAGTGCTTGTTTGTTTTCAGCTGGCAGGTACGTGGGTCAAAGACCTCTGCAAAGGATGATGAGGCTGCTCTTGCCTTTTCTTTTGTTTTTGATCATTTCTTTCATTCTTCAAATGGTCAATTTGG